ATATATATATATATATATATATATAATATACACGAATCATTCAAATTCATTAATGTTTCTGAATGATTTTCACAGAAATCAGTTGCGCTGCAACAACATAAAGCCCCAAAAACTTTATGAAAACGTATGAAATCATGTTTTCATTGGTTTCCAGTGGACTGCGTTTTGGCCTCGGGACGTCCCGTATGGCCTTCTGGGTCCTCTGGGCGCTCTGGCCAAGTATTTCGTGGACTATCATTATCCTGCGCTGTATAACGGGTGAGTGAGCGCCGTTATTCATACGGTGAATTCAGAGCTGACGCTGATGATGTTACTTACGTCTGTGTTCCAGATGGTTTCTGATGTTTGCCATCCATGTGTGCGAGGCTCTGTTTGCGCTGAAGTTCTGCAGGTAAGACCCTTTTCTACCACACGGTGGCAGTACAGACCATCAGATTTGTGGATGTTGTTCATACTAACACTGCTGTGACTGACACACTGTGTGCATTATGTGAACTTGGAATAAATTATTTGTTTGCTACATTTGCCAAAATGAATTTTGTATCCTGCATTGCAATGCTCTCGACCGCACCTTACATTTGCAGTGAGATGAATGAACCGACTGCAGTGCCATCTTTCTTGACTCATATTAGTTTAGACTGATAAACTTGTTTTTTACACAAAATTGGTGAAAAATACAACTTTTTTTATTTCAGAGATTATATGTGACCCTGGAGCACAAAACCAGTCTTAAGGGTCAGTATTTCGAAATTGAGATGTATGCATCATCTGAGAGCTGAATAAATAAGCTTTCCATTGATGTATGGTTTGTTAGGAGAGGACAATATTTGGCTGAGATGCAACTATTTGAAAATCTGGAATCTGAGGGTGCAACAAAATCTAAATATTGAGAAAATCATCTTTAAAGTTGTTCAAATGAAGTTCTTAGCAATGCATATTACTAATCAAAAATTAAGTTGTGATATATTTACGGTAGGAAATGTACAAAATATCTTCATGGAACATGATCTTTACTTAATATCCTAATGATTTTTGGCATAAAAGAAAAATCTATAATTTTGACCCATACAATGTAACAATATGTAAATATTGTTGAAAAATAACAAAAAAAAAGTTTATTGTTAAAAAACAATGAAAAATAACATAAGTGGGTTTTAACTGTATTTTGCATAAAATAAAATAACTTAATGATCTTTACTTAATATCCTAATGATTTTTGGCATAAAAGAAAAATGTATAATTTTGACCCTTACAATGTATTGTTGGCTATTGCTACAAATATACCCCAGCGACTTAAGACTGCTTTTGTGCTGCAGGGCCACATATAATGTTCAGTGTATACCAGTGTTATTATAGTTAACTAAAATTAAAACCATACAATTAAAACCATTTTTGTTACTTGAAATGAAATAAACGTTAATAACATAAAATATATAATAAAACTGAAAATTAAATGAAATGAAATATTAAACTATATAATATAAATATAAAAAAAAAAAAGCAAAACACAACAAAATGACTAAAACTCCAACTAGAAGTAAAATGAAAGCGGAAAATGTGTAATCTATGTAAATGAGAAGAATATATAAATAATAGAGGACGATTAAGACAAGCTTCCCCCAGATGTTTTCATCTAATCAGATGCAGGACTGTGCTGATCAGTGTGTTTGTGTCTGCAGTGATAAAGGCATCGACAGCACGTCCACACGCTTGCTGTGGATCGCTCAGACGTTCCTGTTTGGTCTCACGTCTCTGTGTCTTCTGATCAAATACAAGCCCGACGGCCGACCCAAACGCCAGTGACCGAAACCAGAGCTCGTTTCCCAGCAGCACACTGTTCTTTATATTCAGGTTATGTTTGAAATTCGTTTATCTAAAACACTTGTTCCATGATTGTTTGAAAACTGTACAACAAAATATTCAGTGAGCCCACTATATAAGCTCTAATAGTTCTTTAAAAAAAAAAAAAATTGGTTCATGATTTTCTTTTAAACAGTTTTGAGTAAGACATTGCTGTAAGAGTTGACCGTGTGGCTGGTCATTTAAAATAAATGTAAATAAACGCTCTGATTTGACGTTTGTTTTTTGTCATCTGTCATTCGATGTACAATCACATCATAAAATACTGTACTAGAGATACTGTATGAAGCTTCTTTTGCAGTTCAAGCTGTGACAGGAACTCAACATTGATGAAGCTGCGGATGAATGAATCTGATTCGCCCTCAGACATGTATTTTGTCATATACCATCCATGTGCAATCATTCACGTGAGTCACATCAGAATCTGTTTTTGCAGTCAGCTGGTGTTTGATTTAGGGCTATCAAGTGATTCAAATTTTTAATCTAATTAATTACATGATTTGTCGATTCATCTTATTAACCACACATCATTTTTGTCTGAAGTCCATTGAGTAGACAATACAAAAAAACATTAGAAATAAATATTTTGATGTATAACAATGCATAAATGTGAGTCATTGAATCATTCATTCAACCAATTTGTTCAAACAGCTGATTCGTTCAGAAACGAAGCAAGTGACTTCTTTTGAACGAGTCACTGAATCAATGACTCACTCGATTTGTTAAAAAATGTGGATTCATTCAGTAACGAATCACTGCTGTGTGTTGCTCAGAGATACACAATAGTTCTGCTGTGACTTTAATTGGAACGATTTTTATTTGCGAAATTGAGCAAAACAATATTTTGTCTAAAATGTAACGCAATATGAACTTCTTGATCATTGAACCGTTGTATGAAATCACTATCACATTTGCAGTCATGCAGATATTGGGGAAAAAACAGCATTATTGCCCGTGTGATATTGCTAAACTATATCGTATAATATATATAAAAACATAAAATATATATTTTTCCATAATTACTTTTTTGGTGTTGCATCTGGATAAACATTTAGAGATTATCAAAATATTTATTTGAAGCATATGCGTGACTCAGATATAATAAAACCATACAAATAAAACTTACGTTTTTTCTTTATGATATCAGTAGTTAAGGATAAAAGACTCGAGTTGTGTTTAAAATATTCACGAGTCCTTGTCGAGTCTGAAGAGTACTAACTTGAGTGCCCATCTCTGGTATACACCTTAATTTTGCTTCTGATGTAAATGTTTCTTGATTTGGGAATGTTTATATATTTTACTGAAAAATTACAATATTTAAATCGTATGTGAGTGTGTGTGTGTGGGAGTGTGAGTGTGTGTGTGTGTGTGTGTGTGTGTGTGTGTGAGTGAGTGTGTGTGTGTGTGTGTGTGTGTGAGTGTGATCACCGCTCCAGCCAGTGCAGTGATGGGTATCGGTCTAACAGCGTCCGCCGCAGCTGTGAGTTCTGACTTTTGTCCCTCGTTTCAACGACACACTCCACCTGTGAGCACAATCACATCAGTCAGCACTTCAGTCAAGAGCAGCTCAAACACACTCGTGTGTCATTCTGTCTGATTCTGTTTCCACAGATAAACTGCAAACCCTGCGTGTCTTTATCGAGACGAGTAACTCTTCATCAGATGATAATACAGTGCTACTTCAAAATATAGCAGGCTTTCCCAAACTGGACATCATGAGATGATGAAAAGCTAGAAATTATTTAAATAATAAAAATGTACAATTAAAATAAAAAATAAAACACTAAAAATGTAATTAAAGATCTGGAGAGAGGATGGCAGTGTTGTTTCAGGAAGGCTTTTCTAACTTCATCTATGATTGAATTAAAGCTCTCCATAACAAGCTCAAGGAATATTCACAAGCTGATATTGATATGACCTGCAGCTTATATATTCACGTTGATGCATTTTGCAGATGCTTTCATTCAAAGCGACTTACATTGCATTCAAGGTTTACATAGTTTTTAATCAATGCATGGAGCTGAAAGAGTAGAAGTCATGGGAATGCATGCTCTGATAACATGCACAGCTGGGATGAACTTGGGAAAAAAAGAATCGAAATGATGCATGAATGTAAAATAAGGGTTTAATTGGCTTTGTGTCACTGAGTCAGAGCTGACATTGTGCATCAGATTTGCCTTATACAACATTAGAGAGATCAGGCCCTTTCTATTGGAACATGCTTCACAATATGTTCCATTTATATTGATTTCATTTATTTATTTTTACTTTGTAAAATGTGTTAAATGTTCACACGTGTTATAGACAACAAATTCAGTTTTTCATCAAATGTGACGTGCATGTATTTTCTTCAGCTGAAATATATATAAAAAAAAATTAAAAGCATATTTATATTTTTAAAATATATTTTCAAAAATAGACCCCCCCCAAAAAAGACAATATATGGGTAAATAACATATTCACATAAATATATTTTGAAACATAATTTAGTATATATATATATATATATATATATATATATTTTTTTTTTTTAATTTTTATTATTATTAATTAATTTAGGTTATAGGGGAATTGACCCTGTCAAGTCCACATCTCATATAAGCCCACTTGTTATTTTATTCTAAAATATAAATGCACAGCAAATAAAATTTAGACATTTAAAATTAAGAAATGCAACGTATTTTATGCTTTATTGGGATTTTAAAGGAATAATGGATTTCATGTCACTATACTGTGTGAGTGTTGCATAAATAATGTTATATTCAAATGTTTAGATATTTAATCAGTAAGTATAATCAATAATAATTCTAATTTAATCAGTAATTAATCTATCTGTAATTATAATCAGAAATATAGCTTTTTTCTCAAGTGGGCATAAAAAGAACAGCTTGACCCTCGTTCTTTCTAAAACAGATTGAACCTCAAAATAAAACAGCAGTAACTCATTGTGCTCAGAATACATCGTACAGATTCATGAATTTGATCTGTTTATACTATTTTCTACAAAATGAGAAAACAAAATTGAGTGCTATAAAGATCTAGAGGCTATAGGGGAGCCTCACTGGACAGAAATATGGAGTTGATATGAAGAACCAGAGACAAAGTGAAAGAGAAAGTCCTGACAGATGCGCAGACAGAGAAAATAATTATTGAGATATAAGAATTATTTAAGGGAGCATAATCAGATTATAGTTTGACAGTACCATGAAATCAGTGCAGTATAGTGTGACACGACTTACAGTAATATGTTTGCGATATACTGAAGAGCCAGTGAATCTTCTGTAATCGAGGAACGCTCCTTGTATTATTATTATTTTTATTTATTTATTTATTTTTTATTTTTTTTTAGGTGCAGTTCTGCGTCTGACCGCAAGATGCCGCTGTTTCCCTGTAAATGAATGCAGGGGCGCCGCAGCAAATCAGCGAGGGTTACGGAGTTTGTTGGTTATAAAACGACCATAAAATGCTCTACTAAAACACACTGTCCAAAAACGACAGTACAAACACCGCGATAGTTGCTTATTATCTTTAGTTTATGTTTCAATGCAGACTACAGCCTATATAGGCTACGGGAAGGCAAATGTGCAACTACAACAGTACCAGAACCTCTATTATTATTAACGTATCGGGTCAAAGCATTTTTGATAAAATACACAAGTAGAATTTAGATTAGGGTTTATTGTTTATTTTTCAGCTTCATCTGATAGGCTACTGATATTACAGTTTATGCGGTAAACATATTTGTTTACATTTTACATGTTGGTTTCACAGGCATCCTAAAGACTCATAACTCATCAAATACAGTAATGTGGCAACAACAACTTGAAAAACATGATCTGGATACAATGTAATTATAACCAAGCCTTTGAACCTGGATGGAAACTATGAGAAAAGACAAATATAAATAATAGTATAATAAATGAATAATAATAAACCCAGTGCATTTAACTCGGGAATGCAAATGATTTTGTGCGTATAATGAAGAGCAGTTTTCATGAAAAATTTCATTTTCAAGAAGAGCTTGATTGAGATTTACATTACAGTCCAGCTGATTTACAACGACATTAGAATTAAGATGAACTCAAATAAAATTACCCAACTGAAATATGAGGTTTGGTCAGTGTGATATCAATAAATTCCTTTCCTAAATGTAAAGATGGTTTATAATAACCACAAAACAAACCGTCCACAATGAACCCTTTTGTTTGTTAACGTAGCAGTAAATAACCGGAAAAGTGTAAATAATGCTGAAGCCTTTTAAATGCTGATCTCTGTCTCTTCAGTTCACAGAGGAGAAAAAACACAGAGCACGAGACATTACACATGCATTCTACATACAGACTAATTATAGCTCATGATAATTGCATATAATGTCGTCAGACCAGGAGAAATGTCTGATATTATCAGCATCAGAGTTTAATGCTGCTGACTGAATTAAATAAGCTTATAATGCCGAGTGCATTTAATACACAGTAAAATATCACATTATTTTTTCCCCCCAAACCATGCGATTCATATTTTATTATGCCAGTTATTTCAGATGATTAGGCTATTTTTTTTTTTTTGTTATAAGGGCGATTAAATGTCTAGTTTGACTAACAGATTTTCAATAATAATACAGTACTTCTTTAGGTTGTAATAGAGAATATAAAACATACTGCGCGTAGCCTATAAATAATTATGTTTTCAAACGAGTTTCATTTGCAAGCTTTTACACGCATTGGAAGTTTTAATAACCGAAGCGCGCATTTTAATTGTATCGCACGATGAAGTCTCGTTCTTAAAAAGAGTTACATTTGTGTTCTAATATAAGCGACTTCAGTGAGCGGTGGATATAGCGTTATTAGTTGTATGGAGGTTAGTGTACTTACTCTGCCAGCGTTATAAAGTAAACGCGTCGTTTGTGTTAAATGTCGAAACGATGATTTCTACAGTGCGACGCGTTATTAATGCCGCGCTTGATGGAGTGCGGCGTTGTCCCATGCAAATCCGCCGCCTCGCGTCCTCCAATCAGAGCGCGGCGTCACTTAGCGTCTTCCAATGGGAGATAGGCGCTCGCGCGGTTATCTGCTCGCCGTCGCCGCTGGAGGCCACTGACCGGAGGACGGCGCTTCAGATGCGGGCGATCACGGCACTCAAAGCGGGCGTGAGATCTGCCGGCGGCCGGCATCCGGATTCTGCTTCGGGACGCTCGTGAAACTCTTTTGCATGGGAGACATTCGCAGACTCTGACTTCCAGCTCCAGTGGATGAGTTGTCGAGTTGAGTGCGCTGTTGTACTTTTTACGCGGAGCATCCTGTGGTTCGTGCGCACCAATGATAGCGGTCGGGCAGATGGATAGTAACCGGCAGAGTGCGTTCGTTCTGGGCAGCACTCCTCTGGCTGCGCTGCACAACATGACCGAGATGAAGACCTCTTTATTCCCGTACGCCCTGCAGAACCCCGCGGGCTTCAAGGCTCCTTCCTTCTGCAACCTGAGCTCTCAGATCCCGCTGGGAACGCCGCATGGAATAAGCGATATCTTGGGGAGACCCATCACCGCAGGACAGCTGCTCTCGGGCTTTCCCCGGATCAACGGCTTGACATCAGCCGGGATGTACTTCAACCCCGCGGCGGTGTCTCGGTACCCCAAACCGCTGACGGAGTTGCCCGGGAGGGCGCCCATATTCTGGCCGGGAATGATGCAGGCTTCGCCCTGGAGAGACCCGCGGGTTCCCTGTCCGGGTGAGTTTTTTTGACACTTGTGGGTCAAAGTTGAATGTCTCGTTCTGAGTTGATCTGGCTGACCTTGTCTTGTTTTCTCCAGCCCAGGCACATCTGATGCTGGACAAGGATGGGAAGAAGAAACACTCCAGACCAACTTTTTCCGGACAGCAGATCTTCGCGCTGGAGAAGACCTTCGAACAGACCAAATATCTGGCCGGACCGGAGCGAGCTCGACTCGCCTATTCTCTGGGAATGACCGAGAGTCAAGTCAAGGTAAACCAGAGGCGGGGTTTATATTAATTTAATCTAATTCTAGACTTTTTTTCCTCAATGCAAACGGGCAGAATGAGACCACAGATTATTTTATCCGCGAAAGTCGCTGTCAGTTGCTCGTGATATGAATTTGCAAACGAGCAAAACTGTTGGAGCATTAATTTCTAATGTTGAAATTAAATTTTTTGGGATTATAAATCATATTTTTAACCAAAAAAAAAAAAATCGCTGTGAGTGTTGCACAGCATTGCACACCGTTAGGCCTTACATTTACGCATTGTCTGGTCAACATGCATTTGCTTTTATTATTTGAATCAATCGCTTGCTCTAGAGTGCATGCACTTTTTGCTTGATTTATATGATTTCAGTTAAGTTGCATGCAACTTCTGCCTTTTTTTGTTTAAAAAAAAAAAAAAAACAATAGCCTAATTG